ACACAGACACACACACACACACACACACACACACACACATATATATAATAACTAACTTATGTCATTGTTAAAATGATACAATAAAATTAAATAATTATATTTTTATCTGCAAACGCTATGATTGGAACTGCGGACATTATACATCGAAAATTTTGTTTATCGGTTAAAACTTGATTAACAAGGGTAATTTGTTTTAGCATATAATAATTTATATTTTAAGAATAACAATCTTATTTTTGTAATATCATTGTAATACTTTGTTAGTAATTTATTAATTTTGAACATTAGTAATTAACTTACGTGATCCATAATGGTAATTATTATTCTTTCATTTATCTTTAGGTACTAATGATATGAAAAAATATAGGATAATAAATATTGAGAAACATAGAAATAATATGAAACATTACATTTAGCATAGAAAAATCAAGAGTCTAAAGAATCTGAACAATTCATTAGTTGCTTAATAAAAATTAAAAGAGAAAAAAAGGAGACGTACTACATCTTAGCCCATTGAAATGTTGTACTTAATCACTAACTGATTTGTAATTATAGAAATATTCAGTTTTTTTCTTATTCTTTTGTTGTTACGTAGCAATTAAGATTGCATAAATATTAAATTTACGATGTAGTTATAAGATTTTATATCAATATATCTAAAAGCATTTTGAAATTTGTTATCGTAATTTAAAAATGTCGAAATTATCTTATTCCCGAATAGCTCATCCATTTACATTAACTTTAAAATCAACGAGTCGTATAACTTCTGAGTATTACAGCAGAATAAAAGTATTAAAATTAACTTACAGAAGACGAATAAATTTCAATAAAATTCTTTTGTTTAAATCATAATTATACTTAATAACCTACTTTGAAAATCATAAAAATAGAACTTATTTTATTATTCTATATATTTTTATTGACTATTTATAAGTACACATTATTTGCTGATAAGAAATACTGCTCGAAACATTTTGCATAATATTTATATATATATATATATATATATATATATATATATATATATATTACTTTATTATTTATTAATATTGGCATGTGTGTTTTGCACGAGTAACATGTATATTGGAATTATATTATACTTTTTATATATGTGTACCTGCGTGTGTATGCATACAATCATATGGAAAATATACCTTTATATTTCAGTTGCGTATGTATAAATTATTTTAGTTTAAAATAAAACATAATATCTATTATTATTCATATTTTTGCAAGTAGTGACATAATTTTTCTTTATATTATTTAATACAAGACAAGCATATATTTAGTAAACATAAAAAATGTTTGCAAGAATTTTTTGTTAATATAATTAATTATAATGGCTTTATACATTCAAATTATGCTAGAGATATAACTTTTATATTATCTGCTAATCAATTTCTAATTCTTCCCATTTTTATCAAAAGTATTTAATTTTTCCATTTATATTAAATTTGTCCAAGCTATTATTAAGCTATTATTATTAAGTAAATAAAAATTTATATTTTGAGGAGATCCAAAAGAGTATGATATATATATTATTAATTATAATAAAAAATACAAGATAATATATTACACGGCAAAACGTGTAATATTGTTGAAAATCATCTTTGTTTTGAAATTAGATTTATATACAATTCATTAAATGTGCATAGTAAAAAAAAATTACAATATATTATTATTTTAGTGTAAATAAGATTTAAAAATATAATATATTTAATATGAACAGAAACTAGTAATATTAATTTATTAATAAATTATTTTAATACAAATAGTTATTATAAAAATATATATTGGCTTGTAAAAGTAATATAAAACTTTCAGCTAATAATTAATTAATTTAGGTATAATCATGTTAACTATGCTAAAATTAAAATAATATTTATCAAATAATAATATAATTGTACGTTCCTAAAATGAAAACATATTTTTATTATTAATTTCATGAATTATAAGCGGATTGACCTCACTTGACCACTGACGTGCAGTATTTTATGAGTAAAAGAAAACGACCTACATTAACATACAAAGACAATATACTGTTAAAAAAGTCTAAAGGTAACTGCAAATGTTAAATTTAAATTATTATAATAAAAGAAAACTAAGCTACTTCAATTAATAAATAAGCTGATTTATGACGATATAGAACATTTAACTAGGTAAAGGAACTTGTATTGTTTTCTTTTTCATGTATTGTTATTAATTCAATAAAAATATATATTTTATTATGCAAAGTGATATTTAAAACAAAAAGGCTAACGCGTTCTAATAAATGATTTAAAATATACAATTGATTGTAACATTGTAACATTACGCTTAAACCTAGAATAAGATAAAATTAGGAAGCTGATAATAAACCGCGTGATTCAAGAAATTTATAACAATACTATTAACTATATGGAGAAATCTATAGAAATCTGTAGGAACTAATAGAGCTTGAGTTACTCGCCTTCTAATCCAGAAATTATTAATTATTTTTTTAAATATTAAAGTGATTATGTAATTTATGTAACTATAAATATTGATGAAAATTTTCGTCTTTTAATCGTTTTAATAATACTCTATAATATTAAATATCTGATTTTATTGTTTTTATACGCAAGGAGATATTTTGAATATTATAATTATTCTATTTTTTAAAAATAAAGAAATTCAAAGGAAACAAAAGATCTAGATTTAATTTATTATAATAATTTCCAATAGAAATTCATCAAATTTATGGTTGCATTCTCTTTTTCGTTGTTCTTACTTTCATGTAATTTTACAAGAATGTGTTTGAAACGTAAGTCAATGATCCAATTAAATGTAATAGGCGAATTTTTATAATAATAATGAACCTTTATGCAATTACCATTAATATTATAGATTACTCACAGCTATACATTAAGTATTTGTAAAATAATTTATCAATGTATATCAATATTAATGTCAATTTTAGCTCCTTAAATTCATTAGTTTTACAATTTTTTAACGTGCGCATAATTAGAAGCGGCGCAAGTAGTTTGATCCTTACAAAATATTCAATACTTTGTTCTAGGTAAAATATTGCTTAATTATAATTATTAACAGAATAATAATTATTAAGAAGTTTTTAATCGATATTTTCAATAAAACTGCCAAAGCAAGCGTGATTTCATATGTCGAATCATACCTTAACATACTTCTAATTGTTTAGCTATCTAAATGTAATTTGTTAAAAATATTAATACATTTATATATTTGTATAGATATTAATTTATTTGAAAGAGTTTTATTATCACAGGATATTAATTATATATAAATAATTTATTATTTAATTTTTGAACTATGTAATAAAATGTATTTAGAATGTTTGTTGAAATATTAAAATTATACAGATGTTTTGGAATCTTTAAGGTAAGACAAAACATTCACAAAATTGTAAATCATTACAATGTTTCAAGTGATTTATCCACTAATTATTATCAACTATAGTGCTACATAACTGCGAAAACTAATATATCTTGGCGCGTCTGGTCGTCACTGATTTGTGTCTGGCTGATAAACGAAATCAGCTGTTAATTGTCATGTTGAAGTTCAGCTTCCGTCGGCACATGACAGAGATAGACAATCACACGGTCATACAGTTGGTCAGGAAGATTGAGTGAGTGAGTGAGATTGAGTGAGTGAGTGAGAGTGAGTGAGTGATAGTGAGAGTGAGAGAGAGAGAGAGAGAGAGAGAGAGAGAGAGTGAGTGAGTGAGTGAGAGAGAGTGAGAGTAGGAGTAGGTAAAGAAGACAAACCGATGCATAAATACTCGCTTATATTGCCCGAGCGCAGAATTATAAGTATGTACATGCAGCAAAATTCTACAAAGAATCGTCCGCCGTAAAATTATAATCGTATACTCGTCCCATTATCAATACGAATATTTGATGAGTAATCGATTTCTCTTCGGCGTGCGCATTGCTCCAAGTATGGACTAAAATTTCATTTGTTCTGCGGTTTCGACGTGTTGACATCAACTACCTGCGCAAAAAAAAAAAAGAACGCAGCCCCCATCAAATTGCGAAAGTAGGTTTTAGCGCAGTATTTCTGTTCATTGCTTAAAGTACAGCTTGAGGTGTATCTAACAGGTAAAGACAAAATTATTGGATGTTTATTTAACAGCACCGTATATACTTGGTGCTAGTGAAGTATCAACATTCTTAACAAATAATTTAAAATCCTTTGTACTTCTCCGTGAATATTATTTTTTATAGGCGAGTTCGGAGAATAACATAATCGGGGACTTTCGTCATTTTTAACAACTTAAATTGCATTGTATAACACAGTCAATAAAATAGTCAAAGTAACACACAAGAATCGTTAACAATATTAGAAAAGTACCATTATAAAATATATCATTAAACTAAAGAAAAATTTACATGTATTTTTAAACATTTATTATATTCTTGATTTAAACGGTTACTGAAAATTTTTTAACGTTCAATAATGGCATTTATTTATTGAAATTTTTTGCAATATATACTAAACCGACATTAAATAGTTTAGAATTTTAGTAATTAAACTTAGCCCAATAAAAATTATATTATAAAGTAGTCACACAACGTTGTGTTATTTGCTTTACCCTTCGCTTCTATCAAATCTTAAACGATCGTCCGATTCGTCTAAATACAACTTTTATCTGGTATACGAATATTTGGAAAATATAGGTGTGTATGAAAATATTGCTTATAAAATGTGCGGTACATACTCATCCGAGTGGTTTTACAAAATTTTTCAGAAACCATCAAAATAATCAGTAAATTAAAATGTTTGATCGCGATGATGGTTGAGGTAAGATTTGTCCGAGTAACCTTAATTATTTCACAGTCAAAACATATTATTTTCATTTTCATAATTAAATTTCACCATCATTAATTATACTTCATTACTCTGAGTTTGACTTGAGAGGAAATTAGTATATACAATAGAACTTTTTCTTTTTTGTAGTTTGCTTGTATCCAGCAATGTAGATCATAAATTAGCTACGCTAAAAAAAGTTTGGAAAAGAGGTCGTTGGCGCTTTTAAAGAATATTATTCTTAAAATATTATACTTGATTTACTCTTCAAATGTCACTAAATAATGGCTTTGATAAAGCTACTGAAGAGCAGGAACCGCCGGCATGGGATACTCTACGCTCTCTTTGTAAAACAAATTTAAAACATTTCAATTCGCACCAAGATGAAGCTGGTATGAGAATCAAGGGAGCATTATTGGTATTAATAGATACATTGGAAAATATTAGATCTACATATGCTGAAATATCCAGAATTGCTCCTCTGTTTGATTTTGATGAGAATACACCAGGCAATGGATACCGAAGTTTCTTATTTTTAGTAGATAAATGTATTATACATTCTACGTTAGTTTGTCAAGAACTCGACTATCAAAAGAATTCTATGCTTTTTCGGAAAAGTTACCACATGAGGTATGTCTTATTCTAAAATATATGTCTAAAATTAAATACTTACATTAACAAAAATATCTTATCCAATAAAAATGACTTGATATTGTTACAATTGTATAGAAATTTTAAATATGAACATGTCTACCTATTATACCATAGATATGTGTAAACATTTTTTATAAATTATTGATATTTTATCATTTTAGTTTCTTATTAAAAAAATAAAAAGTATTATAAACAAACAAATGTACATGTGAGAAAATAATTTTAGAAAAGTTTATATTATATTTATAATAGATGTGATGTACTTATTAATTCTAAAATTATTGATATTAAAACACTTTCATAAAATTATTTAATAATCAAACATTTAAATATTCATATTTTTCTTTTTCATTTCAATTAGGGAAATAGAAGCTTATTCTCAGTTATTGGCTTCACTTTGTACTTGCTTGCAGCACATAAAAACACTTTATTCTTGGCAAGAAGCAAACGAAGACGAACGTTCCCTTTTTCATGATAATCACACCGCCCAAGAACTTCTAAATCAAGCTGAAAATATTAATCAATATTGTTTTTATGGTAGATGCTTAGGTTTCCAGGTACTTATAATAATTGATGAAATTATCATTCTTTTTCTTTAATAATAAAGAAAATTATGTTTTCATATCTAAATGATTAATTAATATAAATATATAAATTTTAAAATTTAAATATAAGTGTCTTTTTTTAGTAATTTTCTTTTTAATTATTAATAACATTTACGTTAATAATTTCTGTAGGAAAATAAAATTGTGTTATTGTCTATTAGTTTTGATAGATTTTTACATTTATACACATTTAAAAATTGACAAACTTTTGTTTACACTTTGATTCAATAGAAATTTAATATGAAATTAAAAATTCTGGTAATGAAATTATCTCAATGGAAAACACACTTTTGTTACATTTAGTTACATACATTTGTAAACATACACCTTTGTTACATGGAATATTGAATAAAAAATTTTTATTTTTTTTTATAGTTTTGTGACAGTATGAAAATTGTTTTAAAAGTAGTCTCAGTTGGAATGGCATCATTTAGCGAACTTTTTTATGCAAATGGTACTTTGTTTGGAAGATGTTCTAACTCCCTTCAATATCTATTGGATCCTGAGGCTAGAGCCCGTAGGATAGTCACTATATCTCAGCACGCGGACATTTCTTTTTGCCAAGCATTCTGGCATTTAAATGAAAGCGGTAAGTGCTATGTTGTTTTAAATAATTTAGAAAAAATAATTTATTTTCAATTTAGTACTATAAAAATGTCAAAATTCAAATTGCTCTATTATTAAAATTCAACAAATAGTGTTGATCATCTAGTTTAAAGATGTTAAAGTATAATTCATAATTTCACTATTTTATAGATTTAATACTCAGTTTACCACAAATAGTAATGCCAGCATTAGCTATAAATCAATTAATATCAATACCACCTGAAGAAATGGAGTTTCCAACATTAAGTGGTTTGACTATAAAAATTCCTATTCCTAGTAGTCATATAGGCAAGAAACCCATTCATGTGAGATTACTGAGTTCTAAACGTAGGATTGGAATGGTAGGTCAAAATTTTATATCTCTATAATAAATTGAGGTAATATGAATTCTAAAACCTTTGACTAAAGAAACATTTGTCATTTGCTAGGTTATTAAAATAATAATTCCAGTTTACGAAATTATAAAACTTTGACAAGATTAAACATGTTATATAATTTATTTATAACATATATAATATAGATTTATAATACACATAAGAAAATATTCATTTTTTTTATTACTATACACAACATTGTACGCTTTGGGTAATTAATTTACAATTTTTTAATTTATTCATCCCAATATTGTACATTGGATTCATAAATAATTTTTTATTTTATTAACAATATTAAAATATTGAACAAAGTTTCATAAAAATATCTGAATCTTTTAAAATTCATTAAAAAGTTATTTTAAATAATCGAAAACGTTTTAACGTATGTATAAGATTGCATATTAAATAATCTATAAATGAAAAAATAATTTAAATTTATAAACAACAACGGTGATAATGCACAAACATAACTTTGAAATCGTATCTGCTTATTTTTATAGCTAACTGTTTTGAAACTTATGATACCAATTTAAAATGTGCGTAATAATCAACAGATATATATAATCTACAGCTGATTAAGTAAATGGAGTTGAATGAAGGACTTAATAAGAAGGCGGGAACATTGATAGAAGGAGAAGTAAAAACAAATGAACAAAAAAGTTATATTAAAAATGGAACTAAATTATATTCATGTCGCGTATGATAATATTATACGAAAATCGAATAAGAATAATATGTATCGTGTAGCTTTAATTATGGCAGAAAAATGCAACTTAATACTTATTAAAAATTGATTGCATTTTATGCATTTTATTTGCTTAATATTTCAAATGATATTTAGTATAAGAAAATTAGAATTAAATAAAAATTAATCAAAAAGTAAAAGAAATATTTGGGAAAATTTTTATAATAAATAACATTTTCTTATTAAATTACAAATACACGGGATTAAATTAAAATTAAAAGTAGATATATTTACATAAAAATTACATATTATAATAAATATAATAAATGGAGGTTAATTAATGTTTTTTAATTATCAATTGTCATAAATATACACTGCTATAATAATTCAAATTAGAATTGAAAGTAATTCATATTCTAAGTTCTGACATATCAAATTAGAACAAAAATTATTAAAATCAGATTCTTATAAAAATATTTTACTCCATTATTCAATCGTATAATGAATAATTAATACCGATAGTTTATGTTTTAAATGCATAATATATTATTAATTAAAAATTTTATTATAAACTACGTTTTTGACGAAATTTTTAATCGTCAAAAATCATTGGTAAATAAATTATCAATGACAATATAAGCCTGGAAAAAATAATCTTCAAGATAAATTTCAAACAAATAAATAAATAAATTTTTTAATTTAATTGTAAATTTGACAATGTGAATTAAATTAAATTTGGTGATTGCCAATCATTTCAACTGATCAAAGAAATACCCGTGCTCGTGTATAAACTTGGTAAACTGTAACGTTAACGTTTTAAAAGAGCTTTATTATTACATTTTCTAAATTTTATAAAATTTTCTACAAAACACTAACTTACGTAATATTTTCCGAATATAATAATAATTTTAAGAAAAATATATTATATTATGTTATACTATAATAGAATAATATGTGAAAGGATTGAAAGTGCTTTAATAATAATAACAACATCCTTTAGTAACTCTAATATACACCTGAATATATAAAGATAATTTTATGAATGATTAATATAATGAGTATTATTGCATAATGAATAAACAATATAAAAGAAATTTGAAGGACATTTTGTTAGTCCAATCCAGTCAATTCCTGTCTTAAGAGTAATAAGTAGTAAGACAATACTATTTCTTCTACATTTGCATAGATTGGCTCTGGTAGCGTGAAGGGCCTCCTAGCCGATCAATGTGATGCCCTGCTGATCCATTGCCACGGGGGAGGCTTTGTTGCTCAGAGTTCACGTTCCCACGAGGCCTACATGCGCACCTGGACCCAAGAACTCGATGTTCCAATTTTGAGCATCGACTACAGCCTCGCACCCGAGGCTCCCTATCCTCGAGCAGTCGAGGAGGTCCTTTACGCTTATGTCTGGGCCCTTAAGCACGCGGACTCGCTACTTGGGAGCACTGCCAAGAGGGTCATCCTCGTCGGTGAGTATTTTTCACCTTCCTTGCCATTTTCTATTCTTTTCTTTGATACAATGAAGGTTGAGGAAATTCTGCTTCTTTCTCACCAAAGAAATACCATAGATTTATTTCTAAAGCCAATCGTATATTTGTTATTGCGCTAAGATATACATTATAAACTATCAGAAGCAGTTGAATATAATAAAACAAGAACAAAAATGTTGCAATACAATATTATTTTATGCGTAAATAAAGTTTTTAATAATATTTGGAATTTCCATTTACGATACTAAGCAGTTAAAATTTCATTTTAATTAATCGTTTCGGTAATTTTAACTAATCAACAATCACGTAATTTCAACACGTTGATTTATTGATTTATCGACCAATTTATAATGCAGTTTAAAAATGTTTAAAAAGGTAAACTTTTTGGAATGTTTTTTTTTTATTCATAACAATTATATATCTATTTTCATTCGCAATTACCAGTTAATTGAATTGATTCTTTGATTAAATAAATGTATTTGCGTAGTGCATTGAAAAATATAGTATACATTATAAAACTTAATTAATGGTAAATATTAAAGGGGTCGAATTTCCAAAGTATCAAATCAAATTTCCAAGTACAATTATTCGTAATTACTTTTACAAGTTATCATTTCTTAATTCAAATTAAATGTTTTAAAAACTTTATTTACGCAATTAACAATATTTTAGAAACTAATTTCGAATAAAATAAAAAGTTTAGATTTAAAATATATAATTATTTTAAATCGTAATATTAAGTTACATGCTGGACTTGAGAAATATGATCAAGTTTAGAAAATGAATATACGAAAATCTAGTTATTAACTATAAATAATAGATGTAATTGTAAGGATAAATTTTAAGAAATTGAATAAATTCTATTGAATATTTTATTGAGTAGGTGATTCAGCTGGAGCTAATTTAAATTTAGTAACTACTATAAGGTGTTTGGAATTAAATATAAGATTACCCGACGGCATTTTTATGGCCTATACACCTGTGTTAGTTGACGTTATTCCATCCCCAGCTCGTTTATTATGTCTTAGCGATCCTATTTTACCTTTTGGATTTATGATGCGATGTTTAAAGGCCTATGCAGCTATGGACCCCAAACAAGAACAATGGTAAATTTTTATTTAACATTGTATATATATAAAAATGTTCGATACATTAAATATTAAAAATAAAAAATTATTCTACTACAGGGAAAATGAGTCAGTGGATGAACTGGTTGAAATCGATAAATTAGATACCGAATCATTTGCAGAAGTGAGCGAGAGCGACTTAATAGCTTTAGCTTTAAGTCCGACCGGTGATAACGATCAAAATAATCTCAAACTAGCTTCATTACCTTCCGACTCAACTTTAAATTCTGTTAGCCTAACAGACGTGGATGTAATCGAAGGTTAGTAAATGTTTTATGAAGACACTTTCTCGACAGAACAATCATAATCAAACATTTGATGCACTAGCAAAAAACAAAATAGAAATTTTACATTATCATCGTCATCATAAATCCTTTTCTCATTTCATTAAGGTACTGAAAATTCATTAGAAGAAGCAAAATCTCAAGAATACGTAAAACGATTTTTAGATATATATAGAAATTCGCGATTTGGATCTACAGTACCGATTTTCAACAGAGCGAAGAGCTCTGAAAGTAACGTAATAAACGACACAAAATCTTGGTCCTTTTTTAATTGGAATTCGAACAAAGACAATAAAATAAAAATACCAAGACACTTAGAAATGAAAGGTGGCAAAGATATTTCCGAGGAATTTACATTTACAGTGCCCAAAGATGTTTACCTAAGTCCGTATCGAGCCTCAGATTCCTTGTTAAAAAGGTTTCCACCGATTAAAATCTTAGTAAGTCATAAAATAATAATTATTACTGTGATATTTAGTAAATATAATTTTTTTATTACAGTTTTAGATAAATATTCTTATTTATCCTAACAGTCAAATTTTAACTAAACACTACACAATGCTTATAATCGAAATATTTTATAAAAGAGATTAAATACTACGGTCTATTAAATTTAATATTTAATATTTTCAGAGCTTAGATTTGGATCCATGTTTAGATGATTGTGTAATGTTTGCAAGGAAACTCAAATCCATGGGAAAATCGGTTACCTTAGATATACTACCTGGTTTGCCTCATGGTTTTCTTAATTTCTCTGTGGTAAGTATATCAAAATTAATGCATTTACTACATTATGTTAAAAATTTCATTTAACTTTTGTATTTCTTTAATTAAGGTATCAAAGGAAGCATATGAAGGCTCACTGGTATGTGTAAAAAGAATTCGTGAGTTATTAGAAACGTTACCGCAGGTGCATTAAAAGAAAAAGAATATAATTTGACGGATTTACGTAATGAAGTTGGATAGTAATGCCAGCTTCGTACAATATTCACAAATGTGCTCAAATTTGATGGAATTTTCCTGCTGTTTTTGAAACTTTTTAGAAAATACAATTATTGCTTCTGACAATTTATAATAACAAGTTACAGCATCAATTTAAATGATTGGTAAATTTTCAAACAGGGTCAAAATTCTTGCGGTTTCTATTATAATACATTTTATATTCAATGCCGTTTTTTTTTTCTTTTTTTTTTTTTTTCGATAAGATTCAAATACAGTTTTTTTATCTCTGTTGCATTACCATATTATGATGAAATAAGACTTGATGCTTGAAAACCATGTATTGATTTATAATGCTATATTATTAAAATTGACTAATTTTTGACTGAGAAAAAATTATATTTTAAATTAAGGTAATACAATGAAATAAATATATTTATTCAATCAATTTTATAAGACAAAATTTGTAACACGTAATTTATATTTTCTAATACTTTTGATCCAATATAAAATGTACATTGCAAATTATAATTAATTTAATATTGAACAAGCATTTAAAAATTTATCTAAGTAGTTAATTTTTTTATTTATTTATTTGTAAATAGAGTTACCAAAGGTAATTTGTTAATATGTTGCACATTTTTAACAGTTTTATTAAATAAATACAAATTTTAATACATAACAGTACTGAATATGTTAAGTAAGAATAACAATTATAACAATTGCAAATACGTCTCTTGTTTTATTAGCTACTATTTGATGATGTGAAATAAAGCAGAAATTTCAGGCTTCTGTGAATTTATTCATAAATACATAGACTAGTCTTCGATGTTTATTATAATTATTTTATCTTTATATATATATATTGATTTTTTTTATATGAAAGAAAGAAAATGCATATGATTGAAGAAAAATGTATTTACATGCAATCCCAAAACAACGTTTGATAAAGAGATATGCATTTTTATTATTTAATTTGTACAATAGACGATTTAATATAAAAGTACGATGGAGACTCAATGCGGAGGACAGGATACGTGTAATATGAATGTATATTTATTGCGCAATCGATTGGTTATGAGGTCGCAGCGTTTTTTGCAACACATGAGCATCTGCCGGTTCGATCCTTTTGTAGTAATGTTTTTTCGTTTCTACAATTTGGAAGCCAAACATTTTGTAGAAATCAATAGCTCCCTCATTATTTACTTGAACATGCCTATCAACAAATAATTTTATTCAAACATAATGAAGTATAGTTTGATATAAAACTTGGCAATTGAATTATCTCCTTAAATCAACCTAAGTTTACATATTTTGTAAATTAAAAAAATATTTAAAATAAATTGATCTGATGATATGTTTATAATAATAGCTAATTTTATCACATTTAATTACTATACTTCTAAATCTACAAGAAATAATAAATATTAAAAAGTAATTAAATAAGAAAAGATGTTATCTTAAAGATAAATAAAAAATTGTGATATAAATTGTGAATTATAAAGGTATAAAATTTTTTTAATTTTGTAATTAGTTATGTAATTATATATTTTTTAAGATGCTTTTATGATAAATATTTTATATTTATTTGGACTATCACTGTATCTATTATTACTACACAAATACATATTTTAAATAATGTACATATTTCTAAATTATTGTTATAATTATTATTATTGACCTTTGAAATTATAAATGTGCTACTATTATACTTTACTTACAAGAAAATCGAATCAAAGTTGCCATCTCTATCGACATAATTCAGAACATGCTGTACCATAACTGTTCCGATTCCTAGCCTTCGATACGGATACAAACAGCCTAAGGTCATTATATACAATCGTCGAGAATTTTCAGATGTGTCAACCCTACAGCAAACTGCTCCAACCTGATGAAATACATATTTAAAAAATACCTAATACAATGAAATTGTTTTAAACCACAATAAAATAACAGTTGAATAAACATACGACTATATCATTATAATATGCTAATTTTGCTAATTCTCCAGCTTCTAATACATCTTTATAAAATTTTTCATTGTAAGACACTGGGAACACAACTTGGTTTAATAATTTCAATTGTTTAATATTGTGTGGCGTTACATTTCCCAATTCAATTTTTGCTCTGAAAAAATAAATAAAATTAACGTTAATGAAATATTAATTAGTAATATTAAATTTTTTTTTTTAATTTCACCACTGTCAGCAATAAAAATAGCATAACAAATATTAAAATGAACTTAAAAAGATATTGATAGAAACAAATGTTATATATACGATTATAATTTAAAAATTACGAAAAGTAAATTTGTTTAGTATAAAACAGTGATTTCTTATTTAGTTTTTATTCGGTATATCTTTAAATAATGACATTTACGTTTTCGATTTGCCAATGTAAAATAACATTTTAACTGTTGATATTATAATTAACTTTTTATTATAAATATACGTAAAGTAGAATATTAATATCAAAAGTTTACTAAAGCAGGAAACGTTGAAGACAATTAATGAAAGCTATATTGAAAACCGGATTCTACAATTTTAATAAGAATGAAAATACTAAATTTATGTATTTTGAGGTTAAAATACTTTTTTCTATATTTATTATTAAATGGTAAGAAATTTTTAAATATTAAAATAAAACCAACTCGATTACGAAAGATATACGTTATTAAAATAAAATGACTTTCCCGGCAAGAGTGAAAAAAGTTGTCATCAAACCTAACCTAAAAAATCCCACAGTATAAAGGAACAAAACATTAAATACAACTCACCTAGTCATGTTTTTCATTCGAGTTTCCACGTGAACACTTTTGAAGCTAATCGCGTGGGCCCGAGAGCGTTGCAGGTACTATTTTTCTAAATCTTTTATGCGCGCGAAAAGTAATATGATTGGGAAAAAAAACAACGAAATTTCTGGTCTACGTCCAAAATTGTCAGCACAACTGACGCCCGGACAACTGGCGGCGAGGAACGAACCACCACACGTTTTTTTTAGTTTGGCTGTTAGCGCGCGCCACCGATAGCTTTTTATCGCAAAATATACTTTACCAACGAATAGAATTTCAGTTTTCGGTAAAAACTGTAATTACTGGCGCGAGGTGTAAATTCCACCGAGCTCTCGAGAAACAGAATTGAGAATATTTAAACTTATTAATTCTACATTCTCAATAACTGATTTACTGCATATTAGTGATACAAATTTATAGAACTTTGTCTATTGAAAATTTAACACAATAAGTATCAATAAACATAGATCGCTTAATTACTTTTTTTAAAAACTTTCGAGGAAGTTAATTTGAATTGCTTGTCTAGATATCAATTCGAATATATTGTAATGAAAATCGTCAATTATGTCAAATAGGTGAAAATTATGTGAAATCCCTTTCAGTATATTTTTCATCTGATTGTTGAATATATGACCAAAAGCAAATGTAGGAAGTAACTAATAGCTTTTATAATTATTATGTTGCATTGTAATATCAGTTATATGGCTTTGGACTTGTTCAAATTATTTAGTGATTAGCATTTATGTATATATTAAAATAAAGTTTTAAGTATAATAAGGGAATATTTATAATTTGTGTACTGTTAGTTGATTGTCGGCTAATTAGTTGTATTTACAAATAATACAACTAATATTCAAAAATTGTTAATGAATACATATTAATATAAATAAAAATATCCAATTATTTTTACATATTTGAATCTTTTAATTTGATACAAAAGATATTAAAATGAAATTTTATTTTCCTTACAGTTAAAGTTAAAATAATTGGCACCCTAGAAAACGGTAATAAAATTGATAAGATGTCAAATTTAAACAAACCGTACAAAGACTTCAACGTAATTTATTTATTTAATGTTCAAAAATTTTTATTTTAATTATAACAAATTGATTCTTCGAGTATACTAATAAATTTATACAATTTAATTTCATATACAATAAACTTCATTGATTCGATTAATTTAAAGTATTTTGTAAAAATTCTCATACATTATAATTTACCACAGCCATTTTAATCGTGCAACATTGCACTGTTAAACATTTGACAAAAATTTAATGCATAAATGTATACCTAATAATGAAATCACTTACTAAATCTATTATACGAAACTAAAATTTTATATGTTAAAGTTACGTAAATTCAAGTTAATTTGTAAATGGAAATCACTTTATGCTCTGCCTTTTTAATTATATATAAAGCTTTATCAAATTATAAAATACATATTGATTTATCTATTTATTTATATAAAATTTGAATACAGTAAAATAAATGCAGAAGTTTTATATAATAATATCAATATTTTATGATATAATTAAAACTATTACATTCGAACAAATATTAAACTATTAAGAATGAATTATTGTATTTCTCTATATTAATATATTTTCAAGATTTAGAATATATATTTGTAGAAAGCAACTAATGTATTATTTCTTATGATTTCACAGTTTTGATAATATGAAGTACATCTCTGAGTAATTTTATTTATACGAAAATTTATAATTGAAAATATTTCTACATTATTATAAAACATTTAATATTCTGTTAAGAATTAATTCTACATCTTCATTATCATTATTTACTTTTAAATCCCAATTATTCACATCATCTAAATCACATTCTGTTTCACAATCATCAATGCCTAAAAATTAAAACAAATTATAATGAATTTCATATTGGATAGAAATAACATTTAAATATACCTTTACAAAATATCCAACCACGACTTTTTCTAATTTCTTCACTACATTCTATTCTGATAATCTTACATTTTTCTCCATAAGTTTCCTTAAACCATTTTAAATCCGTTTTTCTTCTAGCATCACTTATAATCCAAATTGATTTATTTGCTAAAAAATTCAATATTGGCAAGATACTTATTTCAAATTACGATCTATTCTATTATTTATTTAAAAAATAACTTATAATTAATTATATGATTTTTTTCTTAAAAATATGAACATAGATCATTAATACGTTACTGTTGTACATTTCTATAGCAGCCCTGCAGAAATATCCATAATTTTCATTTCTTATCTTTTCACCCCATTTTGCCATTTCTAATCTGTATTGTTCTTTATATTCTCCATCACTAAATAATTTTGTAGTATTAAGATTTTTACTCTTTGCCCAATGAGTTTTTATAGGTCCAGACAGTTTTATAATAACACTTTTATCTCCACCCAATCTATTTAAATGTTATACAAATTTTAATGAAATATAAGTATTATATATTTTATTTGTACTATTCATTTTTTTTAAACAAAATTAAATTATATTATCAATTTTTTAAATATTATTTTTGAATTGAATTTTTATAGATTTTCATATTGTATTATAATGAATTTACTACTTAATAATTTTTGTAAATTACAAAGATTTATAAATATTTTTCAATATACACGGCATATTTATTAAAATTTAAAGTGCATTTCAGTACAATTTTTATTTAATTTTTTAAACATTTTAATATGATTAATATTCTTCAAAAATAGTATATATATTGACTTATTTAAAATATAATTCGAACCAGGTTATTGATACAAGATCTTAAAAATTAATAGATCCTTAAACTATGTAAATATTCGATAAAACTAAATGTTTTATAATAAATTATTGTCTTAATTATATAAAAATTTAATTTCATCATAAGTATTTACAAAATATATTTCGAATTTTATATTCATTATTATTGAGTTTATTGCCACTTATTACTTAATGGACAAATATTTAAAATCATTTAATTAAAAATTAATAATCTTGTTATCTTACTATTTTTAGATATAATACACACCTTTTTATATTTGATCGAAAATATATTAAATATAACGGTATTAAATATGACGGTTCCCAGAACTGTACTTAAAATTTTACGCGTATACATTTATAATTGAAATACTTTAAGGATGCTGATTCATATGTTACAATATACCTTTTGTACAATTCATCAGTGATAAAGTCTTTTCCTGATTTTCGTTTTCCACTAAAAATTAGAATTTTTTTAACTTCCTTCGAAAATTCTAAATTTTTTATTTTATTTTGTTCTTCTATCAGACTTGTTTCCGCCATTTTGATTTCTACTGCTTTTATGCAAACACGCATGCATAACGAATAACATTATTCAGAGAATAATGTAATTATTTCAATTAATTTTAAATATTGTATACATACTATTATAATTTTGAAAAATCAAAATATTAATTATATTAGAAATTGTTTATTCATTAATTTATCTAATATATATTTTATGAATTTATGGTTTAAAAATACTTCTAATAATAGAACTATTGAGTATTTTAGAATAAGGATTATTTTATAAACAAAAATTAATGACAAGTTTTTATTAAATTAAAAACGCCTCATTACAATAAATCTATTTCTTAGATTCCTTAGCAGCCTTTCGCTCTGCAGCTTTCTTCAATTGTGCCTTAGGTTTGAGATTATGTTTCTTCGCAAATCGCTGATTGCGTAAAAATTTGAGATCCATCTACAACACAAATTGTTAATATTGAAATTTATTATTTCATTCAACTAATTTCTGATTTACTACTATGATTTAATATTATGATTCAAATTTATACATCAGAAATCTCTCTGTAAAAAAAATTATTTTTCATCGGACTGTATATAATAAATAAATATTGCAAGTTTTACGAAAAAACTTATAATGTAAAACTTATTGAGCATAAAAATTTGAATATTTTAAAATTCACTTATAAAATGTTATATACAAAAATTAAAAAATATAAAATAATTACTTACACCTAAAGTAGATTCGTGCCTATATCTTTTTGGCTTTTGAATACCATTGCGATGAGCTTTTCTACCTACACAAATAATATTGTTAATAAAATTATCATATATTAATTAATATTTTAATCACTTTGAAATTTAAAAAATTAGAAGAAATATGGATAATATATCGCACAATTTTTATCACAAAGCTTACTTTGATTATGATTTGTATGGTTCTTTGACTTCGCCATTTCTTAATTTTTCGTTCTTTCTAAGAAAATAAATATTGCTTATTAAAAGGATTTAATTACAATTTAAAGTATAATAACGAATGATTGTTAAATATAGAGGTTAGAATATCTTATAAAATTTAATAAATCTATTTTTTAACGTTTATTGTAAAAATTTATTTTAATTTATTCTTTTTTAATTATAATGTATATTATTCTTATAAATAATAGCAATCATAAAGATTGTTTGGATTAGAAAATATAAAAATTTTAATCATCTCGAACTCACTGTTCTGTAAAAAAAAATAGCAAGCTGGAACTACGTGTGGTATTTGAATTTTACTAGATATCACCATAATTTGAATTTCCTAGTTTAATAATCATTAATATAAATCTATTACCTAAACTGCAAAATTATAATTACCGAAAAAATAAATTACCGAATATTCAATTACTATGATTCGATTAAGAAAAAAAAAAAATATATATATATATATATATATATATATTATAATATATGAAACATCGTTTAATAAATAAAAGATTGATGCATTTATTTAATTACTACACGTATAGAATTAATATATAAATTATTAATTGTTGATCATATATGTTTTAGGTAATTCAGTCTATCCAAAAACATAATTTGGAAATATCCGTATTCGTATTGTTTATCTGTTTTATTGACAGAGTTAAAAATATCAAAATATCAAAAACCCTAGTGACGATGACGTCATAGGTAACTCTACAGAATACTGATTAAAACGAAACAAATTATCTTGATCAGTTTGTGTTAGTGCACAAGGTAGATTGGATTTGGTGATTTGATTATATTTTATTTATTTTTACGAATGCATATCTAATGTTTTTTAATGGTTTCAATAAAATAACATATTTGTACTACTTCCATGATTAAATTACCGTAAATTTAAGCTAACATATGAAATTTAAAGATTTTTTTTATGATGACTGTAGCAAGGAAATAAATTTTTTTGTTCGCCTCAAGTAAACAAGCTTCGACAATTTGTACGGAAAAACAGGTGATGAAAACTCGCTCCTCGTTCGCCGATTGTTTAAACATCAATGTTATAAGATGGAGTTGGGCTTGAGTAATTCACTTTTAGCTGGCGATCCTCGATTGATTGATCATATTGTTGGTGAGGTAAAATCGCAAGGAATATTTGATAAGTTCAGAAAAGAATGCATTGCTGATGTCGATACTAAGGTAAGATTTTGAAGACATTAATAAAAAATTCTAAAATATACGTAATAAAATGATTGTCTTTGAATATTATCACTGATACATCTCTTTAATAAGTTAAATGTATATTGCACTTTCAATACATCTTTCTTTTATTATATTATTTAATACAATTAGTTTAACTTTAATGAAAATAATAAATAATTTTAGCTGTATTATAATTTTTATACCTAAAAACATTCATTTTAAGAACTAACGTTCAATATTTTGTAACGAATAAATTAATAAAACTATAATTTCGTTTTTATTTATTTATAATATAGTACTTGATATTAATATTTATCCTAATTTTTAATAAGTTTACAGTTTTTATTTACTTTATAAGTTTTATAATAGGTTTTTTCTTTTCATAGCTTTGTCTATTCTTAGATTACATGTTATGTAGCTATATTCAATTTATTTTATTGTAATGGATAACATTTAATATACAATAGATAAGTATGAAATTAGACATGATTAATGATTTTATTTAAGTACAATAAATATCTTTAAAAATATTCTGTGATTTCCATATATAATAAAGTATATTTATATACAGAACACACATATATATTAATGTAAAATTAATTTTATTTGGTTAGGACTAGTTAATAGCAACCTATTTAAAGCTTCATTTTATTAAAAAGATACATTGTTTCTATAATCTCGAAGACCAGTGCTTTATATATGTTAATAATTAAAGTTTATTTTAAGTCCTTTCCTTATTTATTTAAACTAATTTTTTATATTTTTATTAAATATATTATATTAAATTAAATGAATAGCCATATATAAAGATATATGCAATGTATCTCATTCTTTATATTTTACAAGGCTTATTTTACAATATTTTAAGCAAAATATGAAAATCACTTTATGTAATATAATAAAATTGTTTATTTTAAATAATTGTAATTTAATAATTTTATGTTTGAAATATATTCGGTCACAATAATTTATTTAATTATGTATTTGATAATGTATATAATAATTCATTTCATCAATGATGGTTGACTTAAAATCATAGATAAATTTATATTATAGTTGCTTTGTAATATGTTATTAATATTTTGTATTTCATAAAATATGTTTTTTCAGCCTGCTTATCAAAATTTGAGAACAAGGGTAGAAAGTTCTGTAAATTCCTTTTTAAATAAGCAAACATGGAGAACAGATTTAAACAAAAATCAACTTCGTGATACCTTGCGTAAGCATATACATGATGCTCCTTATTTGGAAGTTGGTGTTGAAAGAATAGTGGATCAGGTGGTAAATCCAAAGATTTTTTCAGTTTTTATGCCTCAAATAGAAGATGTTGTATACAAATTTTTAGGAATTGAAAGACCAAAAACTCAAAGAAATGGAGCTTGTGACTTGAAAGATTTACTTCCTAAAGATTTAGATCCTGTTTCACCAGAATCTGATAGAAATAGCTTAAAAGATATATCTTTGGAGTCCGTAGATGAAAACATAGATGAAGTAATAAATGGAACTGAACAAAAACCAGGTTGTAGTAAATTTGATGAAAAGTTATATGATTTAAAATGTAATTCCATTAAAAAGGAAGTAAATATAATAGAAAATGGACAAAATTCTCAAACTATAGTGAATTCACCGACAAAAACAGCCTTAAATAGTTCATTTAAATCTGATGAAACAAATAAAACAGAAGAAGAAGAAGAAGACAGTCCAGATTTTGAACCAATTGATATTATGAATTTAAATGAATCAAATATGTCAAATGATTCTCATTTGTCAGGTATTTCCGAATTAACAAGTCATAGATCTCAGAGTCCTGATTTTATCACAGAATTCTCACATGATAATTTTGACTGTAGTAATCAAGATTCTCAGTTAAGTAAGGTTTCTTCTAATTCTCGATTATCTATTGTAACAGATTTTGGTTCATCTAATCATGCTTCAACACCATTGCCAGAATCTAAAGATGATTTTAAATATAACAGAGACAATTTTAAAGTTGTCAGAGAATGTGATAATAACAAAGATAATAAATTTAATTTTGAGGTTATAAAAATTAAAGATAATAGCAAAATAAATAATTCTTCTAAAGAGAATTCTCGCGACATTCATGAGTTTAATAAAGATACGAAAATTAAAGAGGAATCTAAATCTAAACATTCAAAAGATAAATATGAATCCAGAAATAGTAGGGATAAAGATCGTGATTCTAGAAGACGTCATAAATCTGATAAGTATTCAAGAAGCAAGAGTAAGGATAAAAATGAATTTGAATTTCAAGATAGCAAAGAAAATACAAATAAATATAAAGAAAATAAACTGAAAGAAGCTGAGAAGAAAGATGAAGTTAAAGATTTAAAAGATTTATATAAAGAGAAAATAAGGGAATTACGTGAGAAAAAGGAATTGACTGAAAAAGAAAAATTAGGAAAGGATAGAGACTTTGCAAAAATCAATAAAGAATCTAAAGATAAGAAAGATAATACATCAAAAGAAAAAGATGATAATAAAAAAAATTATAAATCGTCATCTAGAAGTTCAAGCAATCATAATAATAAAATCTCTCGTGCAGAATCAAAAGATTCCCGAGACAAAAGCAGTAGTAAACGAGATGGTCGACATCATTCAAATGGAAAAAATGAATCTAAACCCAATACTAAAACTAAAAGAGATTCTAAAACAGATGTACAATCTGAGAGTAGAAGTAGTTATAACAGTGATAGGTCATTAAAAGATAAAAAACGTAGAGATGAGAAAAAATCTAAATCAACAGATGATCATTCAAGTCTTAGAAAAAATTCAAATGATCGTCGTTCTACTGATAGAGATGGTTCCAATGGCTCTAGTAGTAAATATTCTCATAAAAGTTCATATGGTACTAATAATTCCACTAGTAAATTTGGTCCTTCAACTAATCTAACTAAAGATGCTAACAAAGATCACTCCAGTAGTGAAACATCAGACAGTGTTCACGATAATTTACAAATAATATTTGGAGCCAGTGAACATAGTCAAAGTTTAAACAACTGCAATAGTTTAGATAATATACCAAAAAGAGTTGATCCAGGTTCTACAGAAATATGTTTACCTTTAAAAAAGAGACCATTATATAATGATGAATCTGTCATTGAATGTCAAGTAAAAAAACCAAAATTAGAAAATAAAATATTTAAGAAAAAAATTGAAAAGGACATATTTAGAATTGATACCGATGTCACCAGTGTACCAGACGAGGAGAGGGTACAGATTATTGAAATTCCAGATGAAGAATATGAACAACCATATCCAGATAAGGAACCTATTTTATCACTCGAAGAAACTAAGAAAATTATACTTGATACTGAACCTGTACATCCTGTGCAGTCTAAGTTATCAGAAATGGAACAGTCTATACGTCAGTCCTTAACTGAAATGATGTCTGATCATAAATTGAATGAAACTGAAGATGCCCTTACTTCTACTAAATTAGTGCCTGTTATGGATTCTAATACTTTATTAGAAACATTAACAGATGATTCAATTGATGATTCAGAATCATTGATACCACTAGCGAACAATATTATAGTTTCTAAAAATGAAAATATAAATTTACGAGAAATTGAAGAAACAATCGGAGTTGATATTAAAGAAAATTTAAGCAGAGAAGGGAATAATGTTGAAAGGACAGAAAACATTCAAAAATATAGCATGCTATCAGGTAAAAACACTGTTAAAAATGAAGAAATTATGGGAATTAAAATTCAAGGGACTGAAGGACAAATAAATAAATCTAATCAAATAAAATTAAAAGCGCAAGAATCGAAAATTAAACAGGAAGACAATACTTTAAAGGTTATCATTAATAAAAGTGAAAGCAAAATAGAAGACTGTAAAGGTACTGCTGAAAGAATAGAGAAGAATACATTTTGTAAAATAAAAACAGATATAGTAATGGATACACAACATATAGTAAATATTGATAAAGGCATTAAAGAAAATATTGTACAAATTTGTATGAAACAAGAAATAAAGAAAGCATATGTAGATGTAAAAGAATGTTTAAATAAAAATAAAAACAAAAAATGTTACAATATGTACACATTAGATAATTCATCTGTTACAAATATAAATATTAATCAAAACGCTGAAAGTATAGATGATAATATAGATGAATTCAATGAAGATGATAAATTAATAATTGATGAAGAATTTATTCAAAAAGAAAGCAATGAAAATGATGATATACAAGCTAAAACAAATATTAGTATCAACGATTTAAAACTACTTGAATATAGTAAAAATAAAAATAATGATGAAACTACAATTCAATTTACTGAGTGTAAGGTAGATGATCAGATAAAAGAATTCAATAACACTGAGCAGTACCAAAAAAAACAGATTGATTTAAAAAATGTTCACAAAGAAGAAACAATACGCAATGATATAATAGTAGATGACAATTGTGATAAGCGAAATAAAAATGATAATAATGTTACGAATACCGTTCAATTTAAAGGTGAAAGGGGACAGAAAAAAATAGAAGATCGATTAATCAATGAATTATATAAGTCTAATAAAGATGAAGGTAATCAAGTAATTCAAAAGTTTGTTGAAAATAATAAAATAATTGAAAGGTGTATTAACAAAGGTACAATTATTGAAATATCTGTGAAAGACAAGATCATGGAAAAATTAACTGAAAAGGATGAAATTTTAATGCAATCTCTTCAAGAAGAAAATGTTGGAAATTCAGTTGTAAAAATTGCAAATAATGTAAAAAAAGGATTAGAAACAAATGTCAAGAATTATAAAAAAATAACAAAATTAATAGGAAACAATTATGATAATTATACCGCTAAGAATGACGATCAAATGAGAAAGTTGGATATTTTTGAAGAGAAAGAAGAGAAAATTGAAAAACGATTAATAAATACATTTGATAGAGATTCATGTAAGATTTACGATATTAAAAGATCGAAAGCAGAAGAAAGTAAAATTGATGCAAAAATCTTCGTTGCTCAAGAGATAGAAAAAGAAGAAGCTGATGACAACAATGATGATAAAAATGATGCTAGTGATAATTATGATGATAACGATGATGACAACGACTACGGCGATGACGAAGATTATGATGAAGATCAAGAAGAAGCAGACAAGGAAGTAAATGATTATGTAAAAGATGAATTCTTTACAGGTGCAACAACTTCAAAAAAAAGAAAAAATAATGTGTTTAGGTATAGCCGGATCAATATGCTTACATCGCCGTTTGAGGAAGAATGTCATTATTTGGAAAGTAATAATCATAGATACTTAACTTTCAAAAAATACCTTGAGAAATTAGAAGCTGATCCAAACAGAAGCTTAGAAAATATGATCGAAAGCTTTGGTGGAGTGGTTGTGCCAGCCATACCGATGGCAGCACCACTTGTCCCCGTTTTTTCAAAACGGAAACACTCAACAAGTCCGTTAGCCGATATTTTAATAACAAATTCCAATAATAATAATGATGGGTCAGGAAAAGAAACAACTTCCGAAGAAATCAGTGAAAATTTTTCTAATCCAATAAAGAAGCGAAAACTTGGACGATTTAAGAAGGTCAGTAGTACAATTGTAAATCCAGTTAATTTACAACAACAGCAACAACCGCATCAGCAGCAGCAGCACCATCATCATCAGCAACATCAGCTACAGCAACATCATCAGCAACATCAGCTACAGCAACATCAGCATCAACATCAGCAACTACAGCCGCAACAAATTGCAATTATAAATGGAGAGAATTTTGTAATGCCTCTGAGTCCAGAGAGCGATGTATCGGCTACAAGTGAAAAAAATCCTGGAAATGCATTAAAAGATGACAGAAGGTAAATGCGTATGATTCATCTTTACATTATTCATTACAGATGAAATCTTTTAAAAATTATATAAATACTTGAAGAACTTTTTTTTTAAAAGTTTCTCAGTTATTTTTAAATATAAATAAATATTTAATATTTTACTTAATTATCTTTGAATCTTGTAATAATGAAATGAATGAGATAAAAGGTGAAGTAACTAAAGGTTACGATCGAATTTCAACGAATTTACATTAAATTAATTAATAATTAAAATGAAATAATGAGTTGACTTAATTGATGAAATGCTAATTACGTCATTTTTAGACTTTTAAACTTCATTATGTAATTTATGAAAACGTTTAATGCGACTGTAATAATTAAGGAAAAGTTTTAACATTTCTACTTGCAATATCTTGATTCCCTTAAAATTGAATTAAATACATAATAATGATGTGCTAAAAAATGAAAAACATATTGGGTTTGAAAATGTAATTTAATTGAAAAGTAATTTATGAGAAGAAAAAATAATAAAAAAATCGCTAAAATTTTTCATAAATCCTGGATTATTAAAAATATTAATTGTTCTGACAAATGTAATTACAATGCCCAAGTATTGCAGCGTTCAATTTGTTATTTATTTTTACAAGTCGTACTAATGGTTATAATTTTTCACTTTTAGGCTTAATTTTTGAGAATTAACGTAATAAAGCTTCTAGACTGGAATACCGCCGTCTGCCCTGGAATGTCGGGCTGTAAACGGGAAAGTCAGTATTATGCTCGTACAGCTCGTCTTCCCGTGCACTCGCTGGCGTCAAATCGACCCTGAACGACGTGCGAATTCCAGTCTAAAAGCTCGCGGTGGCATAAAAGCGAAGCTATGCTAATAATGTGGTGGATGTTGTAGCCGACATAGGAGTAACCAGCGCTACTCGAGCGATGACCTCTACAAACCCCGGCCTCTCTTCTCGAGCTCATCACGGCGTAATCGGCGCTTCAACCAGGCATAGCCAGTGGCTCCAGGGTGCCCTCTAAACATAAGGAAGGCTGTCATCATTCTGCGCGACGTCTTCCGCGAACAGCAGACGATCGACTGATCAGATGCATTAACCGACGTTGTTTTTCAAAGGGAGACTCCGATTCTATCGCGCTTGCCTTTCTTCGCTCATTTTTTCTTTTGTTTTGTTTTTGTTTTTTTTTTTTTTTTGTTTTTTTGTTTTGTTCAGATGGTGGATGAATTATTATATTCAATCGGCTAGAGTCACGTTTCGGTACGTATATTAATACTATGAGCCTCGCGAGTACCTCAGCTCTTTTCATTGTTACTTATTTATATATAAGTATTGAAAACACATATTTTATGGTTTACTAAGAAGAGCTCAGGCTGACATCTTATCCTACTTTATTAGATAAATTTTATAATAAAAGAGGATCCACCTATAAATATTTATTGTTATAATGTGTGCAAATAATTAAAAATGATTTTAACTTTTTAAATGTTAATTTTCTCGTGCCGCTATTAAAAAGGACTAAAAATTTGTGGCTATCATTTCGTGAGAACAAAAAAAAATAGTTGTACAACCTACTTTATAATTTTATAATCGTCGAATATAGTTTGAATAATAAAAACCGTCAAAGTTAAGTGGAAAAAGAATTTTCGGTATAAAAAACAAAATTATATATATATATATATATATAATTTTAATCAGAGTTAGTCTGATACAAAAGTCTTGTAAAAAAGGTTTATTAATACATTAATAAATGGTACATCTATATTTCTATGGTGCGTCTAACGTAATCGTAGTAGTTACCGACTAATTCGATGTATATATAGATATATGTATTTTATTACTGCATTTTTCCACTAATCTTTCACAAACTAAATCTTAACAAAGTTATAAATATATTTTTTTCTTTCTTTTAATTATCTTGGTAATTAATAATTTATGTTTGTTAATATTTAAAATTTTAATATAAACCTACAGTGTACATTGGAAACATAAGCTATTATAGCCCATGGTATTTTAGAGACGTACTTGTTTTTGCAAAAAAAATTAATAAATTTATAAAAAAAATATTTTAGTTGTCATAAAAATTGCTTTGTGAAAAATAATTTTTTTTTTATACAATCTCAAATATTATGGAATATCACGATAATTTTTTCAACTTTGATTTCATTACTTTCAAATTTTTTTAATATATTTTATATATATAAAGACTAGTTGCTTAAAACCTACAAACCTTTTCATAAATAATATTGAAATGCACTAATTGCTGACTGTACAATATTTTATAAAAATGGAAAAAATCTCCACTGTATAAATTACAAGAGGCTGTGACTTAAAATCCACGCACACGTGCACATACATACATACACATAAACTCACACGCACGCGCACACACGCACGCGCACACACACACACGCACACACACACAAAATTATATACATATATCACAAAGAACATTCATTTGAATAAATTATTTATGTATGCAATTAATAATTTTCGTTCAAATTGATTCTTTATTTTCTTTTGTATTAACAATAAAAGTACATAAAGAATATTGTTAATTAATAAAAGATATACATTCAAATTCAAAATTGCTTGAATGCTATTAATATGAACAAGGTAATCATAGATCATTATTCAATAGCATTTAGTAACAAAAAGGTAGTAAACAGAAACATTTTAAATATATGAATGATGTATGTTGGATATTTTACCATTATTTAAAGAAATTTTTGTTGACATAAATTAACGAGTTTAAATCTAAATTTTAACTATAAAATTAAAATATGAATAATAAAATTGGCTTTAGAATAAAAGGACCGATTATTTAAATCCAGTTTTTTTAAATTTTCAAAAAGCAATTTTTAGAAAAATTATAAGTTACAATGACAAAATACACTTCATACCAACAACATTACAAAATTTAATTTTAATTTTTAAACAAAATTTAATTATTTTAAATGTTTTATTACAAAAACAAGCTACCGTCTTTAAATCAATTATTTTAATTAAAAATTATAGAATTTTAATTAGTTTTTAATGCACAAGTAAATAATAACGTAAAATAAAAAATATTTTTTTTTTAATAATTATCAGAGTCTACGTTTTGTTGGAAGAACATTTTTGTACATGTACATGCTACACACATAAGGATATTAGACAATTAGCGTTTGAGCCATCAATTTCTTGATAGGCCATTTTTTATATCAAATTAATATGAACATAAGTGTAAAATAATAATGAAATGAAAATTTTAATATGTATAATGATTCTCATGCACAAAGTTTCCAAAATTATTTAATTAAGAGCACAAATCACGTGATTTTGAATTGCATAATTATAAGTAAAGAATTAATAAAAAAATTTTGTTAATTAGTCTTTCGACAATTATTAAACTTTTCCGTATATATTATAAATTGTAATTGGATTATAAATAAATACCATTTGTATATAAAGTAAATATTTTATATACTTAGCGTGTATTTAGACTATAAATATATTATGTATAAATGTATGTGTAATGTATGCGTATTTTTAATTTATAATGAAGTAATTTTAATAGAAAATTTGTTACATAGCAGTGCCTATGCAATTAAAAAAAAGGTTAGCTTTAATTTTGCTGTTAACAATTTGTCGTTACAAGTTTTTCACTTGATGCGTAAGTTTCAACACATTTCTTGTTAAGCCAAATTTTTTTTAGCGAACATTTAACAATGTAGTACATGTTTCATAATACTTGTAAAAAGTAACAACAAAATGATTAAAGAGATTTCGATAAAAAAATGTTTTTATTAATTGATTTTTGTCCTATGGTATGAATATAAAGATTAATTTATAATATTTAGCAACCTATGAGATTCAATTGATAAAGTATAATCAAAGTATTTGATTAGGTAAAAAAAAAAAATGCCTCCAATTTATATAATATTTTTATCATTTATTACAAATATAAATCATTAAACGAACTTACCTTTAAGTTTTTCCTACATTTTAATATTCAGCATATATCAATTCTAAATGTATACGAAGTCCGTAATATAAGAATTCGTATTAACAATTGATTCATAGGTGGAGCCTTTGGTCTATCGAATAGAAGTTATCATAACACTACATTCAATAAATAAAAAATTATTCGTAATTTATTACGTACATAGTACGATTGAATGCGCTGCAAATACAAAAAGTTACTTATATTTAGGTAATAAGTAAATAAGTATTTTATAAAATTAAAATTAACTAAATAAATAAGATATAGTTTTTTGTTTTGTTTTTCATAAAGCTCTTATGTTGAATTAGTTTGTATGGGAATATGCTTACTTTTCTATAATATTATTATAAGTATACAAAAGAGTGTATGCATTAAATGAATATTATGGAATATACTGTTAAGCATTAACGAAATGCTTTAATTTAAATTTCTGATCATACAAACAAGTAAAATCAAAACGTGATAATTATATTGATAATAATAATGTATTATAACTATTTAATTATTTTAAAATTGTTATATCAATGTGATATTGTATTATACTAATTTTTTATATTGAATATTGGCTATTATTAAATTATAAAGAAAAATTTTGATATTAATTCTTGAAAAGTTACTTTAAAGGTAACTTTAAAATGATGATTTTGATATTTTAGTATAATTTTATATAAAAAAATAATAAGTATTAAACATGGAACGCTTGACAACTCGAAAACTTGTTACTAAGTTTTTTCTTTTTCTCTTGGAAATACATTGTTTATAAAAATTGGAGTGTTTTTAAATTCCCGTAGAATTAATTTTCGAATAAATTCAGAAAAAGTCTCTCCATTCAACTGCATTTCCATTTAAAATTTTAATCATTCCCATTGATACTATATCCTATCTTTGAATGTTAAAGTTGTCTTCCTCTGAGTAAAACAATAAAAAGAAATTTTCATAACAACGTTGTTAACAAAGGCTAGAAAATAGTATTTTAAATAATATTTTTAAAAAAGTAAAAGAAATAAAAAATAATTTATTTCTATCTTGAAATAAACGTTCACTCAAAATTCGATGCACATAAAACAACTTGAATGATGATAATTTCGATGTTTAAAACTTAACTGAAAAAATGAAATGCGCTATTATTTTATGCAAATGAAACGTTCAAATATTTTTGCTTTGAAATGCAGTTGAAATGTTCATAGAGTTCTCGCTTTGTTTTAAAATATATTTGTTAAATTATAAGACTTTATAAGATAAAGTGTGCAAGTACAAGATAACTTCTTAATTGAAGTATTATGTAACGTACTGCATGTTCATTATATATTTTCATTGAACTGTCTTGATGCAGACTATCTTATTTTTAAATTTCACAAAACAATTAAAGCAAATCTACTAAAAACATACAATATAATAATTTAAATTGAAATAAATTGAGACTCTGAATATAATAATTATTGGTTTTCTTTTCAATTATTAAGCACTTTATAGCACTATCAATATAAATTTTAAATGTATATTTAATGTCAATACCTCATTTATGAATAATGAAATCTCGTACATTACTTATTTTTATATTATTTAATGTAAAAACATTTAATAGAAAAAAAATTAATGTATCAATATTATTTATATTATTATTACATTATTATTATTATTATTATTATTATTATTATTATTATTATTATTATTATTAGTATTATCAATATTATTATTATCGATTAAAGAAAAAAATTTATTCCATTATAATATAAAATAATATCATTTCAAATGATTAAACATAAAAGTTTGAATAGTCCATATATAATATACTTATTTTTAAAAACCATTTGATTAAAAAAAAAGTCAATTACAATAAAAAAAACGCTATTGCAACAAGTGTCTATTTCAATTATTACTCATTTGCTATTTCATTTTGTATATATAGGACAAAGCAAATTCCCACTGAAATAAATTATCCTACGTCGCAGAACTTCCAAATCCAAAGAAATTATTAATAGATGAAATTTTCATTATATATTTAAATAATTATTTCATTTATATTTCATAGAATCATATGAAATATATTATATTTTTATAAAGAAATTAAAAAGTGAAATTTAAGAAATGTAAAATAACTCATTTCTTTAATAAAATATTTTCAAATATACTATATAAAAAATTCACTATTAAATTTTCACGATTTAGCTTATTCGAAATAAAAATTAATATAATACATGCCAA